GCAAAGCATCAAGAACATACAAACCACAGGGTTCAATACATAGTGAGTGTTACGTACCCAACTACTCATACCTGATCGTTACCTTGTCTTTCCCACGCACATTCATTGCCTCTACTTATTAATCCTCATGACTTGCTTTGATGATACCTGCTTCAGAAATTTAAGTCTCTATGAAGTAAGTATATGCATAGTTGTACATATAGTTATATCAACAAGTATGCCAAGACACACGAAGGGAGACTTTTGAGCCTGCAAAAATGGTAGGTTGATTTGAGAAACGTCCTGAAGGTAGAGAAGGCAATGGCCACCAAAGACACAGTGATGAGACTCCCTACAGATACGCTGCAACTTTTGCATCTTTCTTTGCAACCTCATTAGATATCCTAACAAAAAGCAGCAATCTCAAACATCAGTGGCCACAGAGGATTCAGAAGATTCAAGACTTGTCAGGTTTAAAGCTAAATCTAGGTAAGCTGCAGCAACAACAAGAGCGATCATTGCAGTGATCATTGTTCTTCTGATACTCTTCTCCAACATTAAAGACATCAACAACATCAACGTCTCCCTTGGGGACTTCTAGATCAACGGATTAAGTCTTAGTTTGCTTGCTATAAACAGGAAATTAATGTACTACTCAAGGAAAAAAGCAGAGTGAGCCACGTAAGGAACACTGCTTGTTTGAAAACCCTCTTGATGATTTAGATCAAGCCTTCCAATACAGACATCCACAATTTCAAGGCCAACACACGTTGCTTGTTCTCATATTGGAGAGTCTACCCTACAGAACATCAGCACCTGACAAGGCAACAGGTCTATTGGTACCCAGGCCAGGGGGGAAACTATTTTAATCTGCTGTAAAGCTAAGGGGCATTTGTTATTATGACATAGTCATAAACCATTTTGAATCAATTATGGTTTCAACTGCAAAATGCATTTGTATGGTTTCCACCGCAAAAATGTATGTCTATGGTTTCCATAGGGATGAGAGGCTGGGAATGTATGACTCCTTAACAAAGGTAACAAACGAGCTTCACCACTGTATTTTTGAATCCCTGCCAAAGACATTGGTCTCGTCGTGCCAGAAAGTACTCAAATACGCCACACTGTTGCATCACATTGATGCACATTGTACAGAAGAGCCTGATTTCCCAAAGTCCTCGTCGGAACTTCTATTTGTACCGGTTTGGGGAATACAGTGAAGAAGAATAGCCTGCTGTTCTTCTTTGGAAAGTAAGTATTGGCAGTAAAGCACCCCGAATTTTTAAGCTGTTAGTCCAGCTGGGGACCGATAGCCAGGTTTTATCAACTTGCAGAGGGTAAAGCATCCAAATCTACATTTAGTTGTAACCCCATATCATGTAGGTCCCCATGAATTGCCAAGAATATTATTGTGTTGGCTTAAATCCACCCAAAACACATGTATGAAACTGCACAAGAGGTGCAAGAGTAAGCCTCAGATCCCATCAGTTTTCTTGGCAACACATCTTTATGGAAATCAGTATGTTTTGTGCAGAGTACATTGTATGATCACAGACATTTAATGACGCAAGCAGTAAAATAAAATACAAATGAACAGCAGAATAAGTAAGGCGACGGCACACTTTTTAAAAGTTGCATTCCTTCCATTTCACATTATAGGTAGTTATATCATGGGAGAGGAGGGGGGGAAACAAAAAAAAAAAAAAAAAAAAAAAAAAAAAAGAAAGGAGAGGAGAAGAGAGGGAAATGTGATCCTGCACTAACCATGTGAAAGCCCACATCTTGTAAAACTGTGAGACATAGGCTAATTGAGTTTCAGGGGACACCCCTTTCAAATCTCATCACCGAAATACACCTTATGGGTTTTGAATAGTTACAGCACAGGCATTTCACACTTGTGTTCCCACTGCCGGGAGTAACATTCCATTTCACTGTATGACAGACAAAACAGATTAAGGAGTTTTCATGTAAATAAAAGTTAGAAGAATTAGTTGGGAACCCAGCAACTGATAACAAGCACGGGTATGCTACCAGCAATACAGGGCTGAGAGAGAGAGAACGAATTTATACCTGCTGCACAACTCAACCCTTCCTCCGTCTTCCAGTTGGAAAGTCTCCATGTACTTTCCTTTATCCCAGGCAAGGGAATCCACGAGCCATGGCTAAGGCTTGCAGAACACCTTCGTAGGTTCGACTTGCACCAAATCCTGCACCTCATACTCCCTCCCATGAGTCAGCAGCAAACCTCAGACCCTCCAAGGCCACTCCGGTCACTGCTGACACTGGGACACAAAAACTCTCCCTCTGCCACAAGCAGGATTAATGCTACTTTTAAGAGTCTCTGTTTGTTAATTCATGCTATAGTTGTCTTTTTCACACGGCCTTTCTCGGATCCACTAACAGGAGAATTAGTTTCTATTTCTGCTGTAGGGCACTTGAAACAATTCTGTTGCTGTTTGGATTTCCAGACTCAGGGAAAAAATTACCACTCTATTGGTTATGATGCTATAATTCAGTTTAATCCCAAACTGGAGCAACAGCTTAACCAGACTGAAACATAGCAGATAACCAGGATATTAGATTATTTACTCTTTCGGTCACGCTCAAGAGTTATCTAGCACCTTGAGATCAGAGCTGCGCTCAGAGAGCTTCTGTTAGGGTTAACACAATCTGCAAGTCTCTGAGCCCCATGTTTCAGGGCTTCACACAAATTCCTCAGTCCTGGCCAAATCCACCTGCCTTCAAATGCTCAGCAATGCAGGAAAACATCAGAGATCATAGGCAGAAACAGTCATGTCCCTACATGCTCTCCTTATTAACAATACTTCCTATGACAAGTCTAGCACAGGAAAACTGGTGCCCAGACGACCGCAGGGAAATGGCAGCAAGAGGAATGAGGCAGAGGGTCCCCCATTTCTGCAGCCACCACCACAGCAGGCAGAGCTTCGAGCAGCAGAGTCTGCAGATTTCTTACTGCACCCGTTAGATGTGAAGGACCAGGCAGACCTTCCTGCTCCAAGAGACCCTCCCCCCACTTTGAGGAGCTGCAGGTAAAGAGCTTTACAAATCTTCGGGGCTATAGCAGAGTTGCTCTCTTCTACGATGAAAAAGCATTGCAAACTGTGGCAATAATATTAGGCACTCGAGTTTGAGCACAAGTCAGGGATACAGGATACAAAAGCACTCAAATACGTCCTGATCAGAGGTTTAAAGCAATTGGCGCAGGAACAGATGACACATTCGTACACTCAAAAAAACCAAGGTCCAACTAGATCCTTGCCATAAAAAGCCAACGCCTCCGAGCAAAAACACAGAGCAGACACGACAGCCCGACATGACGACGGTCTGCACGCCCTCCTCACTCAGTACACCCTCCAGCAGACTTCGCGTGACCCACTGCCACAGGCATACCCCCTTGCCCTCGGCTCCTGCCAGCTTGTGGGAAGCAGGAAGGACCTGGTATTATCCTCTAGGTGCCCATCCCTGACCCTCTCCGTTGGAGAAAGCGGGTGTCTTCAACAACCCTCCCAAATCCAAAGGCAGGGTTCTCCTTCCAGCTGCCAGGCACCAGTCCAGGCTGCACAGCACAGGCACTACCTGCAGCCTTCCCAGCCATCAACACGACGTTGACGCCGTCTCTCCATTTCACAACTGCTTAAGCACTCTTTAAGTTTTACTTTTTCATTCCTCCAAGTTTTCCAAGCTGAAGCACGAGGCTAACAAGCTCACATTTGGCATCAGGACATTTTGTTACAGAGCACCACCACTGCCGACTGCCATAGACCCTCATCAGTTGGCACAGGCGCTGAAATCACAGGGCCAACAACACCCTAGGGCTACGCAAGTACCCACACAGGTATCAGGCTACAGCCACATGCTAAACTCCTGTATTTAGCCAATACATCAGCACGTGGACGTTGGAAATAAGGACCAGTTTCCAGAGAAGCTTTCTGCCAAATTTAATGATAACCTCCAAAACCTGTAACAGAAAGCTTTAATTCCTTTTTTTTAAGGCCCACACAACAACTCACTGTTACTATGTATACACAGAATAAAAGCCTTTACTGTTGTGTTAGCCAACTGGAGATCAGATACCAGAGCAGATTTGTCTAAGGTCAGTGTGAAAGGATTGAGTAGAGCTTTTTTGGTTTTCCCATTACAAGAGAATTTGTCTAAATTCAGCCTCCATAATTCGCCTAAAGTCATGCTGCTTTGGCTTGTAGATTTATGAAGAGAGGGAAATATCCTTCCCTTTACTGCTTCCCTTTAGGTTTTATTCAGCTTCACAGAACTTGACTGTTGTACCTAAGTGTTTAAGACACAATTCTTAACCTTTAATAACATTAGCAAGGTAAGAGGCGACTTTTCAAAAGAAGCATCAGCAAACGCTTGCCACCCTCCACTCCAGGCCCAGAAGTACTATGGCCACTTCACACACGGGGAAGCCAGAGGCATGGAAACACGAGCCCGAAAACCCAGGTTCAGACCTTCGGTCTTCATGGGACAAAGCCGAGACTACCCTGACAGATATACGCAAAAGACTCTAGATATTATAAGTACATCTGTGAATCAGATTATATCAGCAAGTAAAAAGGATCTGATTGACGTAAACCTGTGGCCGAAGGATGCACGCAATAAGGGGGAAAAAGAAGTAGGAGATTTTCTTTTTTCTGGGCAAGTCATACCTCGACGTCTCGGTACTGCTGCATATAAGGACAGGCAATACCAGGGAATACACACACACTCTCCCAAGAGTATGTGGGCATTAGAATGGTTTTGGAGACAAACACCCTGCACACACGGGATGAATCCACATTTTCAGCCGCATTCCCCAACCTCCATTTTAAAGTTGCACATTTGCCAAGAAACTACATGCAGGGCTCCAGACTCTCCCCGCACGGTCAGAAACCACACCGCTGCCTGCAAACGCAACTCGGCACATCCAGCCCAGGCGGCACGGCAGCCTGCAGAGCCCAAGGGCTGGCCTTGCCGCGCCAGGCAGGGCGAGGGGGAGACCGTACCTTGCTGGGCATCTTGGCCGGGCCCATCCTCGCCACCTGCGGTCCAGGCGCTCAGCCGGTGGGGAGGGCCTCCGGATCCTTCCAGCCTCCGCCGACGCCCGGCAGATCTGCAAGTTTCTTATTTATTTATTTGAGGAGGTGGAAAAATCCGGGACCTGGGGAAAGAAAGGGCTGTCAGCAGAGCGGGGGGGCTCAGCCCACGCAACCCCGGCTCCCCCACGCCCCCCTTTACCTCCATCCCACCCCGCGCTGGGCCGGGCCCGGCCGGC